CCCCATCAGCAGTCTGGCTGCCACACTCAGCATAAACTGGAGCTTTCAAACCAGATCCAAGGGCATTCCCACATAGAACACATTACAGTAAACCAGCCTCAAGCAGTGTTAGAAACTGAGATATGAAAGCTAGGAGGCTAAATGGCACCTTATACCTAGATTACGGGTGCAACAACGGAATGTCTAGGTGATATAGATATAGATATAGATATAGATATAGATATAGATATAGATATAGATATATAACACAAGAATACAATACAAAGCTGAAAATGAATGAACTGCAGCTAAAATATTATGTTCATTTTCCCACATGGTCTAGTCCTTCCCCTGCCCACCTTCCTAATATTTTCCAGTCTTCAGAGAGTAGCTGGAAGAGGGGAGGCAGAAAAAGTTCCTCCTTTCCTGCCACTCTGCAGTTTTCATCTTAGGTGCAGTACTGCACCCAGAGCTCAGAAACTGCTTACACTAATGAAATTCCCTGTCGCAAAATGCACCTAAAACAATGGGAGTTTCAAACATTGGCCTCAAGGTTACCATCACATGGACTACAGTGGCCAGGCTATGCCTGTACAGCAGTCATTGGTGAACTAGACAAAGCTGGTAAAAGCAAGTCCTAGCCCAGAGCTTTGCAAACTGTGTGTTGTGACATGTTAGTGTGTTAGCTGCAGTGTGTAGGTATGTTGCGTGAATGCTCCCTGTGCTCTTCCTGGGGCTGCAAAGGGGTTAGTTTAACCTCTGGTTTGCTAGTAAAACTGAATTACTGTGACACGAAATGATGCATGGCTAAACAGTGTGTCACCAACATGAAAAGTTTGGAAAGCTCTGTCCTAGCCACAGAGAACACTGTTGTATCCAGGAGTACCCCTAAGCTACTTGCTCCTTCAGAGGAAGAGTATCCCCATTCAGAACCAGTAATTTGCCCATCCCCTCAGACATGGAACTACCCACTCAAAGAATCCCCATCTTTCCAGGGGTCAAGCATTATTTACTTGCCCTTATTCAGCCCAGCACTGCTTTCAAACACCACTGAGATGAGCGACTTTACAAGGTGGTCTAAACTTTTCCCCAGCAGTTCCCAAGCACTCCCTTTGCAAAGTTAACTGAAGACATTTTTAAAACCATATAAGCAATAATGGACTGGACTGTCTATAAGCTAGTAGCTAGCCTGCCAACAATTCTTAAGCTGCAGTGCTTGGTTTTCCTGTACAGATAGAAGGCAGTACTTTTGTACCCATCCATATATTTGGAGCAAACTTCATGGCTGCCTCAGGAGCTCACAACCCAGACTGGGCCTATGGCATTTTTCAAAAAATTATGTTTTCAGGTAGTTAACTTGCTCCCAAGCCTCAGAACATACTGTAGTTATTTTGTTCATTACAGTAGTTCCCCATGAAAGAATGGATTGATTTTCAAATTCTGTTTCTGACCTGTGTGACCTTGCAGTGGTCAAGTTCCTGTAGACTTGAATAATCACTGTTCCCTACCTGTCCAGCTGGAGCAAGTTACTTTTAATCATTTGCTATTATGTCTGAACACTAAGAGAATACAAAATCTTTACACAGGATACACTACAACTCTAGAACTCTGATTGTTTCTCAAATAAAAATGATCCTTATATAAAAGAATCCATTAGTTTGTACAGATGGGTAGGACCAACACATTCTAATTGTTCTGATCACATTCTTATACTAATACAGATTTCATAATTGTTTTCATTTAATATTTTTGTCATTAATGATATTTCTGCAACTAACCTCCTGGGATGTGCAGTACTAGAGAAATATAACTCATAAATCCCATAAAGGCAGTATGTTGTGGAGCATGAACAGCTACTGTGGGATAAAAACAGCACTGAGTACTGAAATTATGTGCAGTGTGCTTTGGAGATAGAAACCTGCTAGTTCTTTAAAGCAAGGGTTGGTTAGAAAACCCATACATTGCCAGACAAGAAAAAAAGTAATGACCATATCTTTCATCTCAGAAACCAAAGGATAATATTTGAAACTGTGACATCCTAAAATTTAGTTGCTGTTGATATGCAGAAGGCTTCTTTTAATGTTACTACATTGAGGTTTTCATGTTGTTGTATCAACATTGCAATTAACAACCGATTTTATAAGGTTAGTTCTGTTATGGTATCCCAGTAATGCTACACATAACTGTAACATCGGCTGAGATGTATGCTAAACCATTTTAACAGAGATATGGCAGAAAGCTAGCCTATTAAATTTAAATCTATTATACGGCAGCTAATTGAATCTTTTGACTGATTGTGTGTGTTGGCTTTGGAGAACTGCCACTGATACAATTAAAAATGCTGGTCCAGGTGACTCAACACATGCCCTCCTGGTATGCACTCTGCTTTTTTCCAAGCCAGCATACAGTATTTCCTCATTTCCATCATTTACTGGTTAACAGGTTTTGTTTTGTTTTAAAGACAGTTGGTGGTTCTTAAAATGTATCCATATCAGAAATGATTTTGTTGCAAATGTGACATTTACACGTCTGCCATTGTTAAAAAAGTGTTTTGGTTTATGGAATTTGGTAGCTTCCAATTACAGTATGAGGTTCTTTTTCACTCCTGGCCCACCAAAGTGCAAGATGGAGCATATTTCAGAACACTTATGGGCTCTTCTTTACTGGGCTGGCCTTTGAAATTCAGGGTTAATTTGGAATGAGTAGGGGAAAATGGATGGGGAACTCGTATGTGCAAGCGTGTGGGGGAGATGTTTTGGATCAGGCCTTTGGTATCAGTGGACAATATACTTAAATAGAGAGAGGAGTGAGAACACAGAACAGCCTGGAGAAATCTAGGTCCCAGGGTTCCAGCTGAGATGACTTTTTGTTACCCAACTGCCACCACAAGATTATCAAAAGCTAGATTGCCCCGAGGAAATAAGAAAGGTTCCCAATTGCAGAGCCACCACCAAAAGGGCTCCGTACTTGCCAACGTAACCAATTTCACCAGCAGGAACACAAACCAGACCTCAGACCTGGATCTTAGATTATGACCATGGTTAATTGCAGCAAGGTAAGGTAAAAAGGTAAAAAACGCCTGGACGATTAAGTCCAGTGAACTATGGGGTTGCGGTGCTCATCTCGCTTTCAGGCCGAAGGAGCTGGCGTTTGTTCAGACAGCTTTCCGGGTCAAGTGGCCAGCAGGACTAAACCGCTTCTGGCGCAACAGAACACCGTTTCAGAGTGCACAGACTTTGATTTAGGCCTAGAAAGCCAACACAACTGGTGCAAATAAGTGATGCCTTCTGGCTACCATTGGAGTTGCCTTCAGAGGTACCCCATAGAAAACACATTGCCTTAGTCCAGTTTTCTCTCCCTCTCCCTGCGCCCATCAAAACTGGCTGGGGGGCTGGCGGTGTTGGGAGAACCCCCAGAACACCTCAAGGGGGGAAAAGAGGGGAGGTTGCTCCATCAGCTCAAGCACTTCTGCTTGCCTGATGAAACCATCTCCTAAGGAATACACTGAATCCCTCACATAGCATCCTTCAGCCACCAAATGCCTATGCAAACAGGAATGTCATCCTAGGATGGAGAATAGGCCAAGCCGGGGCTGTGTGTGCATGAATTTTCAGCTGCGAGCTGAAAGAAACAGAAGGCTTGAGTTTCTCTGCAGGCTAAATCCCACAAAGCTGTGGTTTGGTGCGTGGCTGGGCTCCCATTAAAACAAGAGCTGTTGGAACATCCATGCTGTAACTCCTCCCAACCTATGCTAGTCAGGATGCACACCTGTGGATCCATATATCCTAAAGACCCCCCAGTCTCTACTGATTTCTATTCCCAGGAAACCAAACCTGGGTAAATGCTGGAGCCTCTCGGAGATTGGGGTGAACGCAACAGTATTATCCTTGCTCATTATTTTCATTTCGATTGCAAGCCACCTTGTATATTTTTTATAGGAAGGTAGAATATAATGCTTTATTATCTTTATGTGGTGCAGGCAATTCTACTGAGGGGTGGGTGAGGGGCTTCCACATTTCTCTCGCGTCAAAGCAGCTAGAATTGACATACACACACACACACACACACACACACACTCTCGTTTAGACTGAATATATATATATATTTGCGACTCGGCAACCAGAGATGAGCTCCTGCAATAATTTTGGTGTTCGCGTTAAGGAGCTGGGAGGCTCGCGGTTCTGCACGGGTGGAAGCAACGCGCGCTGGTGAGGCTCCTCGGGCGGGAAAGAGCCGCCTCCTCCTCCTCCTCAGCGGCCTTAGAATAACGGCAAACGTAGCAGACGGCATGCGCGAGCCGCCCCCCAACCGCCTTTCGCCTCAGCAGCTCGCGCGAGACTCCTGACGCGCCTCCCTCCGCTCCCCTCCTTCCACGGCACGAGACATGCCAGCCAAAACTTCCGGGTGTACGCACTTTCATACCAGGCGGCGGTTGGTTATAACGATGCGTGCGCACTCAGCCGCCCTGAGCGCTTCTCAGAGCGGCGCATGCGCTAATTGAATGCGCAGCTCCGCTAGTCAAGTCTTCCCTCCCTCTCCCCTCATTGACTAGGTCTCTTATCTTGCTCTCGTTATTTGTCGCTCTCTTCACACCGTTTTAAAAAGCCTAGCTTTTGCCAACGATCCTTGTGCTTAGCTACCTATGAGTAGCCGTCTTGCGGGGGATGGGGGGGGGGTTGGACGGACAGCGACCTGCAATACACACAAATCAGAATCCCAAGCGAGAGGCATCTCCGCTTCACCTCAGACTATTTTTCTCGGACGGCAGAAAGGGCGACTCTGGTGACCTCCCATGTCACGTGACAGGGCTCCTGCCCTTGCTCCCCGGCATCGGGATGGCTTTCCTTGCGCCTGATAAAACAAATAATTCAAGGACAGCATCTTATGGGCGAAATGCATCCCCTTTCCGCTTAGAGTCTCGGTGTGAAGCAATTGCCTCTCCACCGCGACAGGAATGCGGCGAAGCGGTGCGCCGCGAAACGAGAGGCTCTTCCTTTTTCAGGCGGATCTTCAGGGCAGCCCTGCTCGGGGTCCTTGTTCACCTGGGTCCCGGCGTGACCTCTGCAGGCTTTGGGAGGCGTGAGCCGGGCATTAGAAACCGGCGTTAGCTGGCGAGAGGGGTTCCGAGCGGCACCGGAGCCTCCCCGCGAGCATTCTGCGCTTCTCGGCTCGCGCGGGGAGGATTTATGAGCTGGGTGTGGGGAGAGCCCGCGAGGCGGCGGCGGCGGAGGCTCCTGGGGCAGCATGGTGAGTCTCTGGAGGGTGAGACCTCGGAGGGGAGAAGAGAGGCAGGGAGACTTGGAAGTTCTCCCTAGAGCCGGTTGGCCCTTTTAGGGCTTTCGGGACAAATCTTGTTTTTGAGGGCGAGGGCTGAAGCCGGAATAGGGGTGTTTGTGTGTGGGGAGAAGTCGGGGGTGGGGAAGCTGTGGGCCTCTGGATGTTGCTGAACACCACCTTCTGTCCGCGCCAACCAGGATGGCCAGTGACTAGGCGTGATGGGAGCTGTAGCCCAGCAGCATCTGTTGCCCATCCCTGTTCGGAAACGAAGGCCGGGCCTTCGGATGCTGCGGACTCCCACAATCCCTACCCTATCTATGGACGTCAGCCCATCTTCTCCCCAACTGCCTACTTGGGGATGTGGGGTTTCCTGTTTTCAAATATCCGTGTGCAACCTCACAGGAGGGCAGTGGTGGCCACCAACTGGGATTAATTTAAAAGAGGACCGAGGAAATTCGTGGCTGTCTCCTGCCAACCTAGCAGTTCAAAAGCACGCCAAAGTGCAAGTAAATAAATAGGTACTGCTCCAGCGGGAAGGTAAACGGCGTTTCTGTGCGCTGCTCTGGTTCGCCAGAAGTGGCTTAGTCATGCTGGCCACACGACCTGGAAGCTGTACGCCGGCTCCCTTGGCCCATAAAGCGAGATGAGCGCTGCAACCCCAGAGTCGGTCATGATTGGACCTCATGGTCAGGGGTCCCTTTACCTTTACCTTACTGATGGCTATGCCCTTGCCTCCACAGGGAGAGGCAGTGAATGCTTTTGGGTGCCAGTTGCTGGCAAACACAGGGGTGAAGGTCTTGCTTGTGGACTTTCCACAGGCAGCCGCTTGGCCACTGTGTGAACAAGATGCTGGGCCAAATGGAGGCAACTGTGCTAATCTAGGGCCAAATGGAGGCAACTGTGCTAATCTAGTAGGCTCTTCTTAGGTTAACTTGGGGAAGCGTGGCCACGTGTGTTCTCCTTTTTCCAGTGTGGGTGGACTTTCTAGGTGGGGTGGGTGAGGCCTAGTTTCATCTGACCAGCCACAGGGCCCAGGCCTGCTGATAAGCCATTGTTCCTGTTGAGGTGTTCCTGCTCTTCATTTGTGATTCAGGGACAGTCAATTGATCAAGCTCAATGGAATGCATAATGTGTGTGTGCACTGAAAACAAAGAAATCACCAAGTCAATGGATATAGTCAACCCGAAACTACAAATTTATCCAGATTTCCAGCTATTCTAATATATACCCTATGAAAAAAAATACAGTTGGGTTTTATTTGCTTGTTGAGAACTGATTTGGCTGAGTCTAATCCGTTTAATATTGCTGTTCTTAAATATAAGCACAAGCTGTGAGGCTGGATAAGAAGGGCATATAAACTTGCTGAAATAGCAATTCCACCTCACCTGCTTCTACGATGAAAGGTAGTTGTCTCCTTGTACCATACTTGATAATTTCACTTGGAAATATACATAAGTATGAGAATGAGCACTGGTGGTATTGGTACAATTTGAGGGAGGGGTGTTGTCTGCAGATGGCACCTGTGATAGTAGTATGCATTCCAGATTTCAGTGACCCAACCACTGCTGAATGAGTGGTCAGCCTATGTTGTTTCAGTGACCTGCAAGCCCTTCTGTAAAACTTCAAAAAAATAAATAAATCAGCTTCATATATGTGTTTCAAATCATCCTGAATATCACTTCTTACACTCCATTACCTAGATTTGCCACCAAGCATACACTGAGTCATGGTGTCCTATGAAATCTCTGCTCTTTCCCAACTGTATTTGTGTGATGTGTCATATATGTGTTTTGCAAACGTATTTTCCACATTCGCACCATGTAACCTTTACATGTACACCTAAAAATATTAGTGGAAAATGAACCCAAGGGTATATGGGATAGATTGCCCCATTAAATACTATTAGTCATATAGTTAAGTGGAATTGCCATACCACTGAAACTGGATGCCTCAACTGTTGGGAGAGGACGGCTATCAACCATTTAAGGACATTGCTTGTGACCTTCCAAAAGCACCTGTTTATCTGCTGTTGGAAAAAGAATGTGGTATTGCTTCCAATCTAGTGATGAAAGTCATTATTTATTTATTATTTTTATAGTACGCTTAAAATTGTTCTATAGCATTAAAAACAATAAAATTCAATAAATTGCAAAACAAAAAAATCAACAAAGCAGCAGGACGTAAAACAAATAAAAACATGCAGTATGCTCTAGAGTTCTTCATTGTAATTTCAGGTGTATTGTCCTTCAGTTGTCAACTTGAAAGTGAGAACTGAGACCTTAGTTATCAACTGAAAAGTATTTTTTGGTGCTTTTTGAGTAAAACCCTGCAATAAACTGGATTCTCCTAATATTAGGCCAGCACTGGTGAATGTTTCCTGAAACACGGTATTGTGACCAGCTGAGTGGATGTCCACCGATGTAGGAAGGGAAGGGGTTCTCTTCTTAGGTTAACCTTATGGTTTGAAAATCACTGCTGCACATCTCTTTTCTAGTTTGCTGTTTAGACCAGGTCCTGTATTTCAACATGGCTCATTCCATGCTAGTGTTGCCCTGTTGGGGAACTGGGGTGATCCTGGCATGGAAAGGAGCAATATTTTCAACTCCCTTTCACATGGCCTGAAGCTTCTGAAACCACAGAAGAGATGTAAGAAGGAGCCAATCCCATGCTGTTGAGACTGTTGAAAGAGCTTTAGAATTCATACTACATATTATCTTTAGGGGCAAAACTTCTTAATGTAGGCATGATAAATGTTGCATGAGCTATATCGTACTTTAAGAACCTCTTAGCCAGTGGTGTTTGAGAAACTAGGTCACTAAGCAGCAGTCTTCTGAACTACTTATTATCTTCCATTGATTTAGACTGTGGGAAGCAGCCTTGTACAACTGGAACCTAGTGAATCCTGCCAGGACCTGTTTAGTTTCTGTTTTCAGCCTGGACTTGAGGATCTGTTGCATTTCAGCAGAGCAAGGATGCAGCTCCCAGATTTCCAGCTCTACAGTGCCATTGGTTGCTACCCATACTATGAGTTAAATTTGTATATAATTTATATAATAGATTTTCATTTTCTACCTTTTGGGGGCAGTGGGAGTGTGGTAGACTTGTCACGCTTCATCATTAGGAAGAGAAGCAGAACATTCCTAAAGTTTAACACTGAATACTTCTGTTCACGCACCTTGACACACAAATATTGCCTGCAAATTTTTCTCTCTCTAATGCTTATATGAGATCTAACTAAGTCATAACCAGAGTAGATTCATTGAAATCAATAGACTATTTAATTTCATTGATTTCAGTGGGTATATTCTGAGTATGGCTAATGTTGACTTTCGTCCTCTGTATCTTTGTGTTATATTCATAATCTCTGCAAAAGAGATGGATGGATCACGTGAATGGAATATGAGTATATAGAGAGTTGATCTTTCATGACCTTGTATGCACAGTGGGAATGTATGCAAGCCTGAGACTTGTTCTTGTGCTCTGCTTCATGTGGTGCCCTCCAGATGTTGCTGAACTACTACTCCCATCATCCCATGACCATTGTCCATGCTGGCTGAGCTGATGGAAATTGTAGTCCAAGAACATCTAAAGGGCATCATGTTGTTTACCCTTGATGTGGAGAAGCTGTATGAATCAACCCTGAAATCTTAAACTCAAGAGTACTTAATATTCTTAAAGGGTTGGTGCTTATAGTGAAGCTGTTGTTGTTTTTGTTAGAGAAACTACTAACGCTACCTTGCAAACAGTTTTGACACTGAGTTTCAAAAGCAGCGTCCCAAATCAGCCCTGTAGTCACGTTATTTCTAAAGAGCAATATAAAAATCTGAGAAATAGTGCTGTTGTGCTCTACATTTCAGCTTATACATTTTTCTCTCTGTTGACCTTGTTTCCCCCCTAGATCATGTCTTCCATATTTAACCTGTTTTGTCAATTGCTCTATGCTTACCACTTATCACAATGCCTTATCAGAATGTGGTTCCAAACTGTCTGACCTCTAGATATTGTTACAATGCAGCTGCTAAATTCTATTCAAAACAAAGTGCTGCAGCAAAAGTAAATATTAGGCATAATTGTGTGCAAACAATTTTCTTGCCCTTGAATAAGTTATTTCCTGGGGGCATTTATAGTCTGACTGTATTATGGTCACTATTTTTCCATGAAATTTCAGACTATGATTTATCATAGCACTGGAACGAAAAGTGTATACTATAGATTTACGCAATAGTAACATGTTTGGTAAGTAATAAAGTGATGTTTAGCAGTTGGTGAGCCTTGCTTTTTACTAATATTTTCGGGAAACATGGATTGCCGACTTGGGTATATAAGATGCTAAAAGCATCTTGGGCAGTTTTCTCTCACTGTGAAGTAAAATGTTAGCCTGCTGCCTCTCAGATGGTGCACTATGCATGCCTAGCCGTTTTTTTAATTCCAATATGCAGAAACTTGAATATGGGTTCCAAATGCCACATTAAATTAATAATTTTTGACTGGTGTTGATTGCCAAATACCATGGCTCTACAGTGCCATTGGTTGCTACCCATACTATGAGTTAAATTTGTATATAATTTATATAATAGATTTTCATTTTCTACCTTTTGGGGGCAGTGGGAGTGTGGTAGACTTGTCACGCTTCATCATTAGGAAGAGAAGCAGAACATTCCTAAAGTTTAACACTGAATACTTCTGTTCACGCACCTTGACACACAAATACCATATATACTTGAGTATAAGCTGACTTTTCAGCACATTTTTAATGCTGAAAAAGCCCCCCTCGGCTTATACTCGAGTGAGGCGGGTGGCGGTGGCAGAGGAACGAGCAGCCCGAAAGGAGCCTTTTCTCACCGCTTGTCCCACTGCCGCCCGCCTCTCTCAAGGACAGGCACAGGAGCCGCGGTTGGGAGAGGCGCTGCGCTGCGCTGTGCCTCTCCCAACTGCCGCTCCTATGCCTGCTCTTGCAAGTGGCAGAGGCAGAGGCAGCGGCGGAGGGATGAGCAGCCCGAAAGGAGTCTTTTTGGGCTGCTCCTTCCTCCTCCTCCACCTTTGCCGCTGTCGGCGGTGGTGGAAGAGGAATGAGCAGCCCAAAAGAGGCCTTTTGGGCTGCTTGTTCTTCCTCTGCTCCTGCTGCCACCACCAGGGTTGTGGTGTGGTGAATCGGTTTATACTCGAGTCAATAAGTTTCCCCAATTTTGTGTGCTAAAATTAGGTGCCCCGGCTTATATTCGGGTCGGCTTATACTTGAGTATATATGGTAAATGTTTTTGCTTTTTTGCTTCCGCATGACACTGTTGACTCATGTTAAGCTTGTGGTCCACCAAGACCCCTAGATCATTTTCACATGTACTGCTAGTAAGCCAGGTGTCTCCCATCCTATATTTGTGCATATGGTTCTTCCTGCCTAAGTGCAGGAAGTTTTTGTTTTGCTGTCTTTAGAATTGAGATGCAACTTTTCTGTGGATGGGGTGGGATGTGCATTCTCTGTCTTGCATTGATAAATGGAGAACTGGAATGTGAACCTGATGTGTGATATGGGATGGTGCTTGGGGAACATTTTGTGTGTGTGTGCTTTCCTTTGTTAGCTGGAGAGACTTTCTGGCTCCACCCACTGTGTGGCCCCTGGAAGATGGCCATCTTTGAATTCAGCCCTTGAACCAAAAGAGTTTTCCCACCAGATATTTAGTCTCTGGTTTTTTCTTTGTTTTACTTCTTATTCCATATCTTTTCTTCTTATTCACCCAACATAGATTTCTAAAGGCTTATAGGTATAAGACTTTGTGATGGAAATTACCACATGTATTCTAATTATGCAAATTCATCACTACAGTGTTGCAGGATATGCAGGTGTACAACATGGTAGCATGTTAACGTTTCTTATTTTTATTTTTTTATATAGCTTTATTTACAAAATTGTTTTATTTATGAAATTGTCATTTTTATAGTTCAATTGCTTTGAAATATTTTATAGGAAGTGATTCATAAATGGTAATAAATTCAATAAATATGTGGGGAACAGACTTGTCATGTGCCCAGGAGTAATGGTCAGTCACTCTCTTGAGTTTCCTATAGTAGGCACAGGTGTATCTGGGCTTCTGCATGTATTATGAATCAGTTCTAAATAACCAGTTTTTAAAGATGGAAGAGAGAATGGACCCAAGTCTGGAAGTTGTGACTTGTTTCTGACAAGTGACTAATTGCAAGCTTGGCCCAGGCAGGGTAAGAATTTGAACTGAGCATTCTCTGTCCCCCTTTAAAACACATTTTTAAAAGTAATGTTGGTGGTCATGTAATTTATTTGATCTTCAGAAATAGTGTGCTACAATGGAAAAACAGCTAGATGTGTGCTTTCTTTCCTAGAAAGCCATATTTCTGAATCCTTTATTGATGCCTTTATGGAGGGATTAGGATGAACAGTCGTAAGTTCACAGTTACAAAAACAACCCTGCAGTATATAAAGGTTCATTTTAGAACTGTAGGCTTTGAAATATAAAAAAATGTTCCTGCATGTTAACATACATTGGCTTATTCCTCCACAGGGTGTGATAGGTGTGCAGCTGGTGGTTACCATGGTGATGGCTAGTATTATACAGAAGATCATACCTCACTACTCTCTGGCGCGGTGGCTTCTCTGTAGTGGCAGGTAAGATAAGGGCAACAAATTGAACGTCTGACAAAGTGGGTTCTAGCCCATGAAAGCTTATACCATAATACCACTGATAAGACTGTAAGGTGTTGTTGTAATTGCCCAATTCTGTAATGCATTTGCGTTTACCTAGAAACAAATCATAGTGATGTGCAGATCTTGAAAGTTTGGCTTTCAGTAGAATAGTCACTTTCAATCTTTTAAAGTCATTTGGAGATTTATCGCCGTACTGTAACTTCAGATGAAATTGAGTAATACGTGGTATGCTTAGTTATACTACTGTGTATCTTAATGAACATAACTCTTGGCAGGGTTCTTGTTGCAGACTATTCTGTTCCATCGAAGTTCCTCTTAATCCTGTGGCAACATATTTCTTCCTTAAGTGTCTGTAATAAAATACAGTTTCTCCTATAGTTGAAATACGAAGTTGAAAATGAAGGAAGGAAGCGGGATAGTTTATTCACAAAACAAGCTGTTGTTAGGGGCAAGTATACTATTTGTGATACATTTCTTAGTGATCTGGATCACAATAGTTCAAGATTAGTCATAAATTTCCATTTGGGTGTGTTCTTTTCCTTACGGGCTGTCTTATCAACAGATAGTTCTGAAAAAATGGTGAAGTATTAGCAACATAATCCCCTAGCTTGCAGACTATTCTGATATAAATGTTCTGAAATTTCAGATAGCAAGAATTTATCTTTTTAAAAAATTAATATTCCCATAGTAAGAAATCAGTTAAAGATGTTGATTAAATAATTCCACACCTAGTTCAAACATAATCACTTTAAAATGTGTGAGGCCGAGGTGTTCAGCTGATTGGTTTTACAAGTAATAACTACCATATTTTTCGCACCATAGGACGCACCAAGTTTTTTTGGGGGGAAATAAAGGAAAAAAAATTATTTCCCCCCCCAGGCGCTTGTGGGGCCGGCTGCAGGGAGAAGCGCTCTTCTCCCCGCCGCCCACCTTCAGACCAGGTCCAGGGACAGCGGGAAGACGCGCTGCGCCTCCCAGCTGTCCCTGGAGCTTGCGGGGAAGGCAGCGGGGAGAAGCGCTCTTCTCCCTGCCGCCCGCCTTCAGACCAGGTCCGGGGACAGCGGGAAGACGCGCTGCGACTCCCCGCTGTCCCCGGAGCTTGCGGGGCTGGCGGCGGGGAGAAGCACGCATCTCCCCACCGTCACCCTCCAAACCACATCGGGAGACAGCGGGATGGCGGCGTTCCGCCTCCCCGCTGTCCCCCGACCTTGTGGGGCTGGCGTTGGGGCTCTCCTGAAGCCTGGAGAGTGAGAGGGGTCGGTGCCCACTGACCCCTCTCGCTCTCCAGGCTTCAGGGAAAGCCTGCATTCGCCCCATAGGACGCACACACATTTCCCCTTCATTTTTGGAGGGGGGAAATGTGTCCTATAGGGCAAAAATACGGTAATGGTTTTCCCATTCATCTTAAATTATTTCTGTTCCAAAAAGGGGTGAATTGATTATTCAAGTAAGGATTGTATGAGCCAGGTGGCTGGATGGGAAATGCAAGGAAGGATTGTGGGAGCTGGTACTCATCATCAGTAGCTGCTTGTTCTAGACAATTGCTCAAACATCTCAATAGAGAGGACAGGTAGAAGCACAAATTAGGCAGAGGGGATGATATAGTTGCATTGACCCTTGCTTGGTGTTAAAACAACAGCATTTTGTTGGTCCATTATGAACTCCTATAGAGATTTTTACAGCTGCTCCTGGGTATTCATGGGGACTGTCATAGAATATTGGACGTCCTGACATTAATTTAGCTGCAGTAGTGAAAATATTGCATGTTGCCAGTGGTTATTTTTGCATAGCAACACAACCCTTTTCTGTTTTGTTCTGAACTCTTAATAACCAAGTTACTTAGAATGTGGGATTTTGGTTTCAGAAGCTGTTTGAAAGGATGAAAATGTTGAAAATGTAGGCAAATGGCAAAAGGTGGGGTTTGGGCAGAAATGAAGAGTGTGATTGCTTTGCCCCCCACCTCCAGTCACCAGATGCTTTTTGTAGTCACTGTGTGCTTTTAAAACTATTTTTGAACCTCATTAGTTGAGTCACAGCACTTTTAAACTGATATCTTTGAAGCTCCTTATGTGCGTTTCTGTAACATAGTAAGCTAGTCTTTTGAAACCTCAATGTACAAAAGTGACACCAGTTTGGAAGCTCATTCTGATAACTGGGGCTATCTACTACAGGGCAACATTTATGTAAGGAAGTATGTGACGTATGATAACATCAGCTTGAAATCAGGAATTTTGTGAATGAACAAGAAAGCAAATTCTTTTACAATTTAGTCTGACAAACACCTGTATTTCTCTTGGTACCTGCTTCTTCAAAAATCTGGTAGCTTGCGATGGTATCTGCATCCCACAGAAGAAGAATTACGTATTCTTGCCGGGAAACAACAAAAAGGAAAAAGCAAGAAAGATAGGTAAGTAAGCAATATGAGCCCGTCACTGTTTTTCAACCTCTGTCTCCTAGCTAGAAAATGGGGATGACTATTTGCTATTCCAATTAGTCTTTCAAAATGAAGAAAAATACTGTTCTACATATGGAAAAGTGGATGGATGGATGTGCACATCTGTCCCCCCAATACACATAGAATAGAATCTCTAAGGTATTTGCATTCTCTCCACCATTATCCCTATATTGAGTATGGCTTATAAATTTTGTTTGTTTACTGTAGGAGTGGTTAACTCTTCATTTGCGGCCCTGATCCAAACTATTTTTCTCACTCCCTCCAACTCCACCAACTTTGGCTGCACCCTGATGCTAAATAAATCACACACATAGAGAGAGAAAGAAAGAAAGAGAGGGAGACGTGGTAACTTTGATGGCACTCAGCTTATGGAATGGTTTTTATAATGTGTCTCTCTTTACAGGAAATATAATGGTCATATTGAAAACAAACCGCTAACCATTCCTAAAGACATTGATCTTCATCTGGAAACAAAGTCTATTACTGAAATAGATGCATTAGGTAAGGGTCTGAGACCATTATAAACTGCATGGTGTCACAATTGTGTATTTTTTAATACTAAATGTATGGTGTTGTCCAAAGAGAGCTACATAATTCTTAATTCCAGGTTTGTTCAGGTACTTTCTTGTAGAACAAACATTTTCCAAGGTGCAAATTAGCCTTTTTTGAATTTCAAATCTGGCCCCTGTTTTAAAAGCATCTAGTTTCTAAACAACGACTTGCAATATTAGTGGAGAACTTGGGAGGTGAAGGGTAAGCTCATTATAGCTGTCCCTAACTTTGCATAGTAAATTGTGTAAGTTGAGAAATGAATTCCATGTAACAACCATTATTTGTTTTACAGCCAATTTCAAATAAATCATGAAGGGAGGAAGCTATTTTAAGTTTTGCATTGGAAAGATTTACTTCACTTTGAGCATCAGTGCATGTTGGAGGAGGACTTTCTGATGGCATACAGAAAGGGCTCCAATCAGCATCATTTTAGAGAGAGAAGACCCACTATACATTGTAGGCTAAACTTAAAGTTTTTAAGCTGTCCCAAGATGATGCTGATATCAAACTGGTCATGGTAGTTCTCATAGAGTTATGTATTTGATGGCAGGTAGAACACACACTTTGCATGGATGCAATCCTGATCAGTCCATGGCATCGTCAGATAAAATTCCTGTGGTTGCAGAGCTGGGGGACATCCCTGTTTGTGATCCTGGCAAGCCATTGCTAATCAGAGTGGACTGTATGAAACTGGATGGACCAGTAGTGTAGCTAGGTATAATAAAGCAGTGAATCCATTTGAACTGGATTCAAGGAGCAATAGCCTCCTTGCCAAAAAGCTTGTGCCTTCTATTTGGTGTATCTGGATATTCTAGCTATTTTCCGCATTTTGTGATTGGTCTAGTAATCTAATTATAGTTGAAAGTTGTTGGTTTTTTATTTTTAAGAAAACAACAATGAAAGGTTGATAACTGCAGTTCATGTATGGACATCCTGGGTGTACAGTGGTGCCTCGCAAGACGAAAAGAATCCATTCCGCGATTCTCTTCGTCTAGCGGTTTTTTCGTCTTGCGAAGCAACCCTATTAGCGGCTTAGCGGATTAGCGCTATTAGCGGCTTAGCGGCTATTAAAGGCTTAGCTTCTAAAAGGCTATTAGCGGCTTAGCGGCTTAGAAAAGGGGGGGGGGAGCGGAAAAAAAATCGCAAGACTAGCAAGACGTTTCGTCTTGCGAAGCAAGCCCATAGGGAAATTCGTCTTGCGAAGCAATTCAAAAACGGAAAACCCTTTCGTCTAGCGGGTTTTCCGTCTTGCGAGGCATTCGTCTTGCGGGGCACCACTGTGTTTGAAACTCTAGGAACCACAGATGCTAAAAATGTTTTCTGCTTGTATTTCAGTTACTAAGTAACCATTTATATTTCAGCCTTGCATTATTTTCCTGAATATCAGTGGCTGGTGGACTTCACAGTTGCAGCTACAGTGGTATATTTGGTTACTGAAGCCTACTACAGCTGGGTGAAGCCCTCACAAGAAATGAATATCAGTATAGTCTGGTGTCTGCTTGTTCTGGCTTTTGCAATGTATCCTTTTACAGTGTCACAACTGTTCTGTATGACTGCTTAAAAGAAGATCTAATGTTCTGTGAAACACGCAGGAGATAATTTGTTGCTTTTAATTGAATCATAGGAAGTCTTATGGTAGTGTTCATCTAAAGCATGCATAATTCATTATTACATAGTGCATTATTCTGTATGAAAGAATTTTTCTTTGTCCAGAAGCATAGCCAACATCTACAAGACATGCACAGTACTGTGCAGCAATGCTAAGCTTCTGCTTGCTGGTCCTGGCAATGGTGACTGGATAGTACCAAAGAGGTGTTTAAAGAATGCTGAAACAGTCTTGCATGGCCTGCCTATATTTTGCAGAGACAGAGTAAGTTGCAAATAAGTTGCTGAGCCTCACGCCAAGCCTCCCCGCTCCGTCTTGTTCTGGATATTTTTGGCTTTAAAAATGACTTTGTATGTTTTAGGTCTACACAGCATTCTTTGTCAGGCTGGCTTCTGTTCACAGTGATAAGATTTGTAGGAAGGCTGAGTAAATACCCTTGCTTTCTAATGTCCCGTGGTCCCCCCCCCCCGTCTAGTGCTAGTGATTGACATTGCTGCTCAGGTATTGATAAATAGTCTTTTATTATTTGTTTGCTGACATAAGTAGAATAAATCCTATTTCTAGTTTTAGGGATCAGATTTTCTGCAAGATGCTGGTTTTAATGTCTTTATTGTAAGATATGTTAACTAAACAATGCACTATAAAACTGTCCTATTTATGAACTCTTTCAAGGGCATGGCTGTAAAATCTTAGCCTAGATCTTGTTTTGTAATTATTTGCATAGGGAGAGATCCAAAATTGTAACATTTTGTTAGACTCTAAATACAAACTTGTACTAAATAATTGGGCTGCAACAAAATTAGGGCTTCTGTCTATAGCTGCCTATATTGCACAGCATGCAGCAAAAGTCATAGTTATGAATAACATACTAAAAGGAGCACTTGTGTTCAGACTGCTATTGTAGAAGAGTACCACCAGCAGCAAGCTATATATAGCTCTTTTTCTCTCCTTTGTAAAAAGATCTCAGCATGTGCCAGCCTCTGCTTATCTGCAGGCTTGCTGTCAAAGAGGAGACCCTGCAAAAATACTGCAGCATTTAGGGTAGGGAATGAAAAAAAGTCAAATTGCTGATTGCTATCTCTTAGTTGCATAGATTGTCCTAAAAACTATTATTTTGCATTCTCTTGAAGCTTTAGACATGCTTTAACTTAAGACATTTGCTAACTTTGAAAAAGGATAGCACTGCATTATCTACTGGATAGCTCAGTCGGTTAGAGTGTGGTGCTGATAATGCCAAGGTTGCAGGTTCGATCCCCATAAGGGAGATCTGCATATTCCTGCATTGCAGGGGGGTGGATTAGATGATCCTCAGAGTCCTTTCCAACTCTATGATTCTATGCTGGCTACACCCACCCACACTCACAACCTCTCATATTGTATGGAATGAGATCTCCATTGAAGAGTTTTGTGCACTAGTTTGCATCTCTTGTTGCTGAAATCTGTCTCCTCAACCATAACTTGCCCACCCAAAAAACCCAGATGGATATATGGGCAAAAAAAATATGAAGAATCTGACAGCGCTCAAAAGGTGGTGGCACCAGTTGTATGTAGCAGCCTTCTTTGTACTCCAATCTGGTCAACTCCTACAGCTTCTGTACATTGTCACATAATTAAGAAAACAGACCACTGCTGCTTCTATAACAAGTGCTGGTCAAACAGCTTTCTGAAGAGAAGCTTCATAATGAGTCTAAACTGGTTGAAGTAGAGGAGGCAGAGTTCAGTGCAAGATGTTGGTGTCTCTTGAGCTGATAAAGTCAAATGAAACAAAATATTCACAGTGTTCCTTGTACGTGGATAGCGGTTTAATCAGTGTAGTTCATGGCCAAAATAATATTTACCTCTACGCTATGAATCAAATAAATGCTCAATAGGAGGTGACATTCTTAAGTATGCATACTGAAATGTGCTTTGGGCATTGTTGACTAATGAATCCCCAGGCCATAGTGTATGTATATTCAAATTCTGATGTACATTATATTAAGAATCAGTATGGATTGATACAGTTAATAAGTGCTTGTTTGTGCTCTTAAAAGTGTTGCTTCAATAGCAGTATGTCTGCATTAGTTGACTAACAGTCAGTACTGTATTGTGTTCTTGATTTTCTTTTTTTTAATGAAAACTCATTATGTTATTTAAACTATTTCAAAGTCTTTTGGAAACTGATGATAGTGTGATTAATAGAGGAAACATGATTGTGTGATCATGTTATCAAGTCATGTTTTTGTGTTCAACTTCTGCATAAAATTTGTTAAATTCTGGAGTTTCTGATCAGAAAGGCTGTAAGCTTTAATATCCTAATATCTCAATTTAATTCCAGCTTCCTTTAAAATAAGTGAAATTAGTATTCAACTGTACGAAAAGCTTGTTTGGTTTCTAAAAATTGTTGGTTTTGGATGTAACTTGAGAGAAATCAAACTTTGTTAAGATCAACTCCTTTTATACTTCATTTCTGAATAAATCCTTGGTGCTAGCTCTCTTTAAATACATCTCTTTAATAGGTAAACTGGAAGTTGTATCTAATTGTGTCCCTCTGGTGATGGGAGGCTCGTTGTTTCGAAAGTGGCTTCCATTAGTGATAAGGGGGGAGAGTTGGTTTTAATTTATACCCTCTGCACCACCCAATCTACTCCACGGAGTTTGGAGACCCTTAGGAAAACCAGGAGTCACGCAGGGGATGCCCTTCCCCTCACAAACCCTTCCACCAGTGGAAACTTCTGCTGAATTAAGCAGCCTTCCATCAGCAAAGAGACACACCAGGATCTGAGCAGCTAGATGCACTATGTACGTAGTAGAATTTTATTTATTTTTACTTTGATCAGCAACCCTCCCCCATTCCATATCATTAACTTCTTTTGGTTGAACTTGCCTCTGTTTGAAGAGGAGGGGACCATGTGGCATATTGGAGCTACGTGCTGATGATGAAACATAAGCCAAATTCCCTTTGGGCATATGGAACTAGTTGTCTGATTTTTTTGTAATAAATTTAGTATGTGTTGGCAGCACTGTGTTTAAACAAATCCATTCAGCTATGCTTTTTCCATATAATTTTCATCGTAAGCTAATTTTTGGCTAATCTACGGATTGTACAAAACTGTTCTTTTCCTTAACTATTCTTATGTAGCAAAATATTGTTTTCATTAACTGCACACTACTTCAAAGTAGAAGAGGGAGGTGAGCGATCCGTCTGCGTAACCTTTGGCTTCTTTTTCTTTGTCAAAGCCATGACCATTCTAATAGTAACAGAAAATTATCTAGAATTTGGACTCGAATCAGGTAAGACAATAAAATGTTATGTTTGGGCAACATTAATATCATTTAGTTGGATCCAGAGAAATGTTTATACAATATTTATCTATTTCCAAAATTTATAGACTCCTATTCACCATAGGTCACAAAACGATTTACAGAGCAGTCCATAAAACAAATCACCGATCAAATAATTTGGTGTTTAAAACAATAATAAATTATAAAGTGGGCATAATACAACTTCTTTTAAATACATGCTGGAATTGAAAGGAGACCAGTGGAAGGTGACCTTTTCATCTGGCAATCCCCAAGCCCCCCCCCCCAACCCCTGGGCCCTGCCCAACAGGGTAGGATGTGGAACAGGAGGAAGGGGGGGATAATGTAAAATCAGGTGGAAATACTTGTGCTGCTCTGGTTCGCCAGAAGCTGCTTAGTCATGCTGGCCACATGACCCGGAAGCTGTCTGCGGACAAACACCTGCTCCCTCAGCCTATAGAGCAAGATGAGCGCCGCAATCCCAGAGTCATCCACGACTGGACCTTTACCATTACCACTACCTTCTGCGTACAAGATCTCTCATAGAAAGTGGTTCTGCAAAATTTCCAGCACTTTTTTCTGCTCTGCACCGCCACATCACAGCACACCATATGTGTGGAGCCAAAGTTCAGCCCAGTGTGTGTTTTACAAACAGATTCTTTCTCAAAATATTTACTACTCTTTTGCCTACTTCTAAGCTTAGCTTGTTTTCATTTCTTCAGCTCTTTCCCCATTACTGCAGTTGCCTGAAGTACCTCTTCTAGAAATTGGTTATGCTCTTAGGTTGTAATTTAGGCCCATTAAGATCAACACTGTTGACTTCAGGTGGATATAGATTGCACTCTTAAAAAGAAGACACAGTCTGTTCACCCTTAAGAGAACATACAAATAGCTGAGAGAGATTTTCCAAGGCCTTGCCTGTTCATAATTGAATTAGAGCATTCTGACTGGCGAATGCAGAAAAACCTGGCTAACATTTGAAAATTACCTCTAAAATGTTTTGTGTTGCTAGTGTTTTGAGATTCTGTGTTTCACCTTGTGCAAAATTTTCCACATGCAGGCTTCTCAAATTTTTCAGAAAGTGCTGTGCAGTTTTTTGAAAAGCAAGGCTTGGAATCCCAGTAAGTATAACAAACAACTATGTAGAGATGCGTATTGTTACTACTGGGTTCTATTCAACTAACTTTTACTCAGAAAGGACCCCCTGAAATTAATGGCTATGATTAATTGAAGGCATTCATTTCAATGGCTCTACTCTGAGTAAAGGCTAATTGAATACAACCCATTGAAATGTTATCCATGCTCTCATCTTAGTTGAATTTTGTTTGTATTAAGGTTCTTTAATTCACAGGAGCACACTGAACAAGGGTTTCAAACCCAGCAAAGCCTTTCACATTCTGTTCATGAGAGTAATTCTTTGTATACCTCAAACTGCTTCTGAAACTGTTGGGTACAGCTTCTGATGTGGCACGTGAGAGCTGCTCTTGACAGAAAATAAAGGTTCCAGTCGACTTTCATGATACAGGTCCTGTTGCAGTAGGACCTCATATTCCTGAATACCACATTCCTGATGTACCAGACCACGCTTTCTATTTTTCAGTTACTCCTTTTGAATTTGTAGAAACTGCAAAAGCCTATGAATCAAATGTTTTCGAAATGGGAGTTCATAATTTGCAACTCCACACTTTTAGAGGAACGGTGATGAAATGCAAGTGAGAACAGGGCTCCTGTCCTTTTTTAATTATTAAGTTTAGTCGCATAACTAGCTGCAATCGCTGAAATTTCTTATTGTATTGGAACTCTGTCTTTTTCTTGAGTCTTGGTGGCCTGGCTTCAGGATGCGAACAGGGCTCCGGAACAGATCCCGTTCGCATCCAGAGGTACCACTGTATTTTGTTGGAAGCCGCCCAGCGTAGCTGGGGAAACCCAGCCAGATGGGCAGGGTATAACTAATAAATTATTATTTATTATTATTATTATTGGCTCAATGGTGAGGCCAACAAGACTCAAGAAAAAGACCGAGAGTCCTGTTCTCACGCGCGTGACGTTATTTCGAGCGTCTGCGCATGCGCGAGTGGCAAAACCTGGAAGTAACGCGTTCCATTACTTCCGGGTAGCCGCGGAGCGCAACCCGAAAACCCTCAACCCGAAGCTACTTCAACCCGAGGTATGAGTGTATTAAAATACAATAGTCTGTCAAACATTAAAAGCATCCCTAAACAAAGCAGTATCTAACTAATTCTGACCACTGTCGTGGTCAGAAATTCAATTCTGATAATCATCAGGTGAAATCTCCAATTTGTTCATCCACAGATGTAACAGATTCTTTAAAAGTTGCTAGCAGTAAAGGGTGACAGTGGGCAAAACGGTATTGTTCTCCATCCTGTGGTACGCTACAGCATCAGTGTCATGATTTGAAGGGTGTGTGAGATTATACACTTAAAATAACCTTAGAAATGATGAGTTGGAAGGGACCACAATTCCAATTAGTCCAACCCCCTGCTATGCAGGGAACTTTTGCTCACGACCCTGAGATTAAGAGTCTCATGCTCTACCAACTGAGCTCTCTCTTATGTATGAAACACACAAGCGGAACCTTCAACAAAAATATTGCATTGTGGAGCGTTCCTATTCGGAATGCAAGTCTTGCCCTCTTATAGGATATTCCGTTCCACTCCCTCTTCCATTCCACTCTGTTCCCACTGACCATGCTAAGCCCTCACCTATCATGTTTTTGGTGTTCTTCTCCTGCCCAAGTGCACACAGATTTTTTGGGTACTTTTGTAAACCTGGGGTTTTCCCAAACGTGCTCCTGTTACCTCTCTCTTCTAGGTGTGATTCATCATGTTGCCTATATAAGTATCCACAAATGGAGAAAGAATTTTCAATTAGTATATAGCAAGAGTGGGCAACAGGATCTGGTGGACAGGCTAGTGCCACCCCACCCCAAACACCCATCAATCATCGAATGTCAGGTGACCTATTTTATCTACAGTGGGGCTTGCAAAACACTATATACAGCACTCTGCAAGCCCTTACAACTGGTTGATTGTTGAGGCTTGCAAAACATAATGCAAATCTACTTTTAACCCAGTTGCATCTTTCCCTGTATCTCATATGAGGTTATGTGTAGGTATGGTTTGGTCAAAATGGCCTGGCAGGACAAATTGGAATATCTGGAAGACCTAATTTGACCCATGGGCTAGAGGTTCCTTACTACTGATACATTGATGTTGACACACGGAGATGCACACATGCACCTGCTATTCCTCTCCTGTAAAAAACAATGAACAACCCATTATTGGGCAGCAAGTACCAAAGCAGCTTTTGCATAAATGACTTGATATCTCAGAATACACTTTTTTACTATTACAGTCATACCTCTTGTTACGTTTGCTTCAGGTTGAGTGTTTTCAGGTTGCGTCCTGTGGCGACCCGGAAGTACCAGAAAGGGTTACTTCCAGGTTTTGCTGTTCATGCATGCGCAGAAGCGGTGAATCGTGGGACGCACAGACACGGGTTGCGTTCTGCTAATGTTGTGAATGGGCCTCTGGAACGGATCCCATTCGCAACCAGAGGCATCACTGTATGCATTCTGCAAGAGTAGATTGGTTTAATATTTCTGATTTTCAGTAATAAGTGTATTTCTTAACAGTTGGAAGGGAAATAATGGCTTTTGTTTGCTTTTTTGTTTTCCTTTGTCATGTTATGTAAGAGCAAAATATATACCATGTCCTTAAAATGTTGGAAAAGTTGACCATTGTTTCCCCTTTTCCCTTTTTTTCTTAGGGGTCCTGTTTCTAAACTAACCTTCAAATTCTTCTTGGCTATCCTTTGTTCGTTTATTGGTGCTTTTTTGACATTCCCTGGATTGAGATTGGCTCAGATGCATCTGGATGCTTTGAGTTTATCAACTGAAAAAATCACCCAGTAAGCCACGTCATGTATTACTTTGCTTAAATAGTAATATTTGGGCAGCACTTTTTTTCCCCCTCAGCTAAAATATCAATTCATAACCAGTTTTCAGTGTACAATAAAAGTCAAGGAAAGGCTGGAAAAGTCAAGGAAAGTTGTAGCAATTGTTCTGCATGCAGAAGGTTTCAGATTCGGTCCCATGCATCTCCATGCAGAGCTTGAAAGGATTCCTTTTTGCAACTCTGAAGAGCTGCTATTGATTGGTGTAGAAAGTACAGATCTAATGGACCAATAATCTGACTCTGTATAAGGCAACTTCCTATTTTCCTAATGAGAATATGGCTAAACCATCTATAGAACATTTTAAAAGAAGAAAAGGCAGGGGTGAGGAGAGGAGGAAAACGAGACTTGTGTTCAGAAGTCTTAAAGGTGAATACCCGGAACAGTTGAATATCTGAACAGAGCACATTTATTCAGTGAGGAACCTGGCATAGTGCAGGTGAAGTGGCCCGTGCTGTCTTAAGGCACAGCGGTGGCAGCTCCGAATTGTGTGTGATATCTGAGACCCCAGGAATGTTCAAGAATGCTGGACAGGAATAATAACATCATGGTTGCCTGTGCCTGTAAGCAACCTTGCTGCTGCATTCTGAACAAGCTGCGAATGATGGAGAAGCACTGTTGGAAACCCCTATAAGAGGATTAACAGACATTTAGTCCTGTGGCTAACCCAGAGATAGGTTGTAGTGGCGGGTCAGCCTGGGAAGTAGTTTAGGGACATTATGCCACTGTGAAGAATCCTCAGACGACTTGATCATTGGATATGCTCATAGAAAAGTCACAGAAAAAGATGATGCCCATAAATTATACTTGATCTGCTGCTTTCTGTTGGGCCCCATTCACAAGCAGAAAAACCCAAGGGAAAACATTAGTTTCATACCAGCTACCTCTTTCTACCTGCATTGCCTTAGTGCTTTCAAATTGCAGAGATGTTGTTTGCTAATTAAACAGTTTATCTGTTTCAAAGTTTCCTTCTCTACTGTCTAATCAACAAATGTGCTACTTTAGAATAACAGTAACTGTATTATATTTTGGTTCATTAATAAATTTGGGAATCAGGTTTGGTGTGTGGATTAGGGGTGAAGCTGTGCATTCATTGGTATTCCCTACACTTAGCTTGACTGTCAATGTAATAGACTGAAATATCTGTTTGGGAACCCCAATGAGCCTGCCAGAGAGTGTAGGGAATTCCTGGGCACATAGCTAACTCATATTCAGTGCTACTGAGACTTTCTGAGCTTCACTGTTGCACTGTGCAACTGGATAGTGAATCTTACAATATAATCTAAATTGAAAATTTGGTAGTGGCAAGCAAGCTAGAGCCATTATGGGTCTTCTTCCTGAAGAAATGATGATGATTTATTAAATTTATATACTGCCCTCCATCTATAGATCTCAGGGCAGTTCACAACATAAAAATACAAGATTACCCCCCCCCCCATATACAAAATACATATAATACATATTAAATACAAGAGCAAAAACAAACCAGCAACCTCGCCCAGGATTAAATACAGGAGCTCCAGCATTTTCAGTGACATTTTGAAAACCACCATCCTAGCAGATAAAACAAAAGTATCAGAAGGGTTATGAGCTAGTTTGTATGTATTTTACTTTATTTTCAACACAGCAGTTTGAAAATGCAGTTATTATGGTGCATTAATTTTGTTTCTCTATTTAACTTTCAGAACTCTGCTGCATATAAACTTCCTGGCACCCCTCCTGATGGTCTTATTGTGGGTAAAACCCATTACTAAAGATTATATAATGAATCCCCCATTGGGAAAAGAGAATGTGCCTTTGTAAGTTGCTCTTGAAAACCTACCTTGTAAAATCTTACCGTACATGTACCACTTTGTAAAGGGACATGGGTGATGCTGTGGTCTAAATCACTGAGCCTCTTGGGCTTGCTGATTGTAAGGTCGGCAGTTCAAATCTCTGTGACGAGGTGAGCTCCCATTGCTTTGTTACAGCTCCTGTCAACCTAGCAATTCAAAAGCATACCAGCACAAGTAGGTAAATAGGTGCCACTGCGGCATGAAGGTAAACAGCATTTCCATGGGCTCTGGCACTTGTCACGGTGTCCAGAAACCGTTTAGTAATGCTGGGCACATGATCTGGAAAAGCTGTCTGCAGACAAATTCCATCTGTCTCGGCCTGAAAGCAGAGATAAGTGCTGCATTCCATAGTCAAATTTGACTGGACTTAACCATCCAGGGCTCCTTACTTTTATCTTTTTTACTTTCTAAACCATTATAGCTCTGTTCAGTGGAAAGAGGACAACTTAACAATTGCCCCAGCTTTAATACTTGGAATTTTGTTCTTTTTTAGTACCAAGGAATATAACATATATTATATGGTAGCTTGTTATTCATTCTTTTCTAATGGTTTAACTTTGATGGTAGTAACATAGAGAAAGGCAGCCACTGAAATCAAGAAAAGGCACTGGTTAATGTTATCAACAGAACCTACTCCTTGGTCTACAGAGATCTCAACTATTAATACCACTATATTCCCTATTTGGCTATAACTGCAAAGGAGGCAGCTGGTTATGTAAATCACTGAGAAACTGTAATGCAAAGGATCTGTTGATCTTTAGGCATTGGGGAGAAGCTCCTGAAAGTTAGCTATAACCACTGCGTGCACAAAAATTGTTATATTTTAATATGCAATGTTCTTACACATCTGCTATGAATTCTTTGGTAAATACAGATGGCAAGGGTCTATATTTGGTGCCTGTCCTCCTGGCTCCTTCAAGCAAATCTTGCTTTGCCACTTCATAAAAATGTTTATATTTAATTTCATAACTGTCACTGGGAGGTGGGGAGGAAGTGTTTAATAATAACTTAAGAACTTGCTTGTAAGCATAAATGGCACCATCTTATAGCTTGTCTAGCTCTCTGTAACAATGAAACGAGTTCTGGGCTTGGATAGGATTTTTTTTTAGCATGAACAGCATACAGAACAATTTGGAATATTTCTTGTAATTGCTTGACATTTAATAGAACTGTGGCATGAGATAGAATGAGAATGAGACCGCAATACAAAGCCCAAAGCAGTAAAAAGACCAAATATCCTGTCCAGTAAACTGCATAAATTAAAAAGTCAGTATTAATTATCTTCTGTTGCATCCCACTGCCTGTAAAAATACACTGAACATATTTTTGTCCTTCTCTTTGACAAGGGAAAAGAAAGACAAATTGGTCAAGACTCATTTATTTACTTGAGTACATATTGCACCCAGTATCTAAAAATCTCTGAGATAGGAATGCTAACTATAAAGTAGTAGTAATAAGAGATTTTCTACACTCCCTCTCCTAAAGGCTTGTGACCATCAACATCTCTGTATGTTCCATTGATATTTGAATGGTTTCACTCTGTAGTGGAATTGTTTCTTTCAGCACTCTAGCAATCTTGTACAAAATGGAAAATATGTGCTTAGTACAGTGTAGGGTGTCCTTTGGAAAATCACTGCATTCCTTTGTCTCTAATCTACAGAATGTCAGAAGCAACATTTGATACTCTCAGGTTGTGGATTATAATTCTCCTGTGTGCTTTGAGGTTAGCCATGATGCGTAGTCATCTCCAAGCCTATCTTAATTTAGCACAGAAATGTGTGGATCAAATGAAAAAGGAAGTTGGCAGAATAAGTACAGTTGAACTACAGAAAATGGTAAGCCTGCCTGAAAGAATAATAGTGTGTATAAAACAAATGAAGTAACTAATGATATATTTAGACTTATGATATATTATATATATTTAAATTCATGAGTACAGAACTCTCCCATCTTGTATTTATAGTCAACCAAATGTTATCTGGAATCATGGTACTGTGACTTTAGGGACATTTAAATCTAATATTTTCTGGCAATAATCACTTCTTTTCATTAGTTCTAAAGGATATTACTGCAATTCTAATGGTTAGTTGATAGAGCAATTCATGACATTGTAGGAGGGAAACAGTGGTTATCAATGAAAACGGCTGTTTTGATTGAAGGCTAAAATACAATGAAAGTTGCAATCAGCAGATCTATGTTTTTTTGCCTTGGAGAAATTGTTTAGTGTTATGGTAGTGGGAGTCCCTTTGATTTTCAAGGCGTAATACTACTTTAACCAGACGAGTACATGAATGGTAAATCTATTCCTAATGTAAACTATATACTTGCTTTTAGGGAGTGTTTAGGACAGAAATAGCAAACAGATTTCAAAGGGATCACTATTAAAATTGCATGGGTTTTCAGATTGTTCTGTTCAGTGTTGTGATTTAGTCTTTTACTCTATTCTGATACTATGTATGCTTTAGATTTCAGCTTGTGATTTAGTTACTGCATTCTTTCTTGTAAACTTTTCAGAAGGTTTTTCTGTTAAGTGAAAGATAAATTATACAAAATAAACTGCTTCTAAACTATTTGATAATACCAACAACTGTGCTTAATTGCTTGCTATGTGATAGTCATACTGCATTGGCTTGTGCACTGAGTTACTCGATATTTTTGTTAACTTAGGTGGCCAGAGTGTTTTATTACCTTTGTATAATTGCACTTCAGTATGTGGCGCCTCTGGTTATGCTGCTTCACATGACTCTGCTGCTGAAAACTTTAGGTAAGATGTATCCAATAAAGAAAAGAATCTGCTAAGTAATGCTGTTGTCTAAAACGGTATTATTTTGTTAAGTATTCTGGGAAGAAATGGCAAGCCAAGATGTTGAGGCACAACTGCTTGACAAGCATTCCTGCATGCTTCTGTGTACGTAGCTCTTATCTCTGTTGCAAATCCAGGAATAACTGGCAGGATGTGCATATATAAGACAGCTTGCAATTAGGGCAGTTCTTGCTCAACAACAGCTGAAGAACTGAATGTATCAGTGGTTTTGCATAAAACTGTAGAATAGTTATATTTTTGTGAAGGGCACACATGTATTTGTGCTTTCTGTCCATGAGATTCAAAATACGCTTGTTGGGCATAACATATTACACTCCCACTGCCTCCCACCAATAAGTGCTGTTCTTGCTAGAATGTATAAATCATTTCTTAGAGACACAAAGTTTGTTCAATACAAAATAATTTTCATTGGGAACTAGAGTTGGGAATAAGGTGAGCAGATGTTTTGGTCATTACTTGTAAAACTGTAGGACAGAGAAGCAGTATTTCTTTATTAGTCTTCTCTCTGTTATTTATAAAAAAATACTTTTACGTCACTATTCATAAAAAATATCAGAGTGGTTTATAATAATAGTATATAAAACCATACAGTAAAAACTGCACTAAAAAGTTAAAATCAGAACTCAGTTAACTATTATGGAATTCTTAATTTCCTGAATAGAAAGGTTTTCAGCAGGCATTTAAAAGTTGAAACAGAAGGCGCCTCTATTGGTAGAGTGTTGCACAATAATGAGTTGATGACACTAAAGGCTTGGTTTCTTGTTCTTGTCAAATGAGCCTTTCCAGCTCAAGGAACAGCCAACAACATTCCTGCAGACGATGGCAGTGCTTGAGCTGGGATATAGGGGTTTAGGCAGTTCTCTTGAGGTACCTTGGACCTAAGTTGTTCAGGGTTTTATAAATTAATACAAGGACCTTGAACGTGGCTTCATATTAGATGGGTAGCTGGTGCAGAAGTTTTCCCTTTCCCAAGTCATGTATTCTTAATTTCTGAATCGGTGCATGCTGTCCTAAACTTAATTTTATATCTCCAAGCTCAGGCTTTGCACACTAAAAACAAGAAGAAAGTATAACTTGTGATTTTGGAGCTTGCACATTTGACTTCAGGGGAGATGTGCAAATTCCTGTTTTATCTGTTGCTGAGAGCAGGAAAAAGGAAATTAAGTTTGTATTGAGCAAAACTGCTTTGTGCATCTTGGGATTCAGGTGGCTTCCATTTTATTACCTTCTAGAAACTGGTTCAGCTCTTTACACCTTGAGCACTAGTCATATCCTTGCTTATGGACATATAATTTAAAATGATCAGAGAGACTATAACCCTTAACATCTGTCTTACTTTCCTCCTGTAGGTAACTATTCCTGGGGCATTTATCCAGAAGCTACTTCAGATTTACCAGTGGAGAGCAGTCCACTGAGCAATTCAGTAAACTCTGAATCTTCATCTGATGATGGAAAGGTGAAGGTAACTGTAATACAGCTAACAATGGCACTGGCTAGCCTGAAGAACATTTTCACTCCACTCTTATTCAGAGGACTTCTGTCCTTCCTCACTTGGTGGATTGCTGCTTGTCTCTTTTCCACAAGCCTTTTTGGGCTGTTCTACCATCAATACCTAACAGTGGCATGACCTAACAAGTTCAAAGCTAGGAAGCCCATGTGCCCAAAGGAGACTGAAGAAAAAATGGAAGAAATAACACGACAAAGTCTTTTTCATAAATGCTTTCTCCATGTTCCGGGCAATTGTTGGGTAATGTTGGAAATCGCAAACGAGTTTGCAACTTTGTTACCTAAAGTTGTAGGTAACTGCTGAATTGTTTTTGGACTGCTTTGAAATATGTCAGAAGTACCTTCTGTTTTGGTGAACTTCGTGCTGCCCTGAAAACACTGTGTTATTCAGTCATTGATTGGCTGATCTTAGTGGTGTTAAGGTACTAGGGTTAATAGTCACTGCATAGAAAATGGAACGTTCAACTGAGCCATCTAAGGGGGTTGGAGAAGTTATCCTGTTGGCAAAAACATGGGTGACTTTTCTACTGAAGAGCAAAGTCATCCAACAGGACAAAGAAATACTGTATATTACAGTAAAGGAAGCTGTTTCAAAAGAGTTTATTGTAAATAAAATGCATGGACTCAGCAAGCATTTGTGCTAAAGGACTTGTTTACATATTACAGTAAGGGTATTGTATTGCAATATTGTGTCACTTGGTTACTTAATGTATGAATGTTCAGGAGTGTGCAGTTGTCAGACTTTAAAAGCATTTCACTCTTTGAGCACTCACATACTTGAAACGCATCTTTTAGTGGTTATAATGGAAGAGCAGTAAGTCATAAGACTGCGAGACTACGTGTACCTCACTCCTGCACATTCATGTATTAGAACTATGCAAAGTGGTATAATATGCTGAGGCTTCCACAGCATATGTGAGGCACTGTATCCTATAATGTAATGTGTCAGGAAGTCCTAAAGAATTTTCATATTGTAAAAGTAAATATATTGTTTCAGTCTTAATAGTCTTTTAAAAAATAATAAATGGCCATATGACTCCTTGGACGTATTGGTGCTAATATTTCTCCACTTAGATCCATTTGGGTTTTACTGTTCTGAAATTAAGACAGATTTCATTGGATTCACAAGAAAGGTTGACATTAATCAAAGTCTCCTAAACTTACTTTACTATGTGTGTATAGTTAATAAATCACAATAGGTGAAAATATTGAAATTTCCCTATGAATGTGTACTGCAGGACAGACAAGCTTGGGAGAATTAATAAGGGTTATGCTGTGAAAAGATTCGTCAATGCCTTTAATTATAAGTAATCATAGCTGCAATGTCAATGAAAGCACTGTAGTTCAGGAGTAGCCAGTGAGATGCTCTCCAGATATTATTAGACTCCATCTCCCATCAGCCCTAGCAGCATGGCCAGTGATCAGGGACTATGGGAGTTAGGAATCCAACAACATATTGAGGATACCGAGTTGGTTACCCTCTGCTCTAGAATTGTAGCAGATTTTGTAATTTTCAGTGAGCCACCTGCCCTGCCTGGCTGTTACAATCTTGTTATAATGGATACAGATTCTAGATGGTGTCAGCGTATGTTGCTCTGTTGTGGCCACCTTTTTGCTATGGCACATACAATACTGTATAGCAGTAGCTGCTGTCACCAGACTATTACCACCCTAGAATATGGTACAAGTGCAATATGCAGAGTTAGCTCATGACAGCACCATGGATCACTGTATCATGCTCTTGCAGTAATTGCTATGCCCCGTCCTAAGTGTTCAGCTGTCACAGTAGCTGTTGGGACTATGTTAATAAACTTTGCTAACCCAGGTGAAGAAACTCCAGCTAAAGCTTTTCATTTACTTGTCTGTATGTTCTATGTTGGTTGACAATGTTCAATTGGAAAGATAGAAGCAGCAGTTGGTCGTAAAACTGACTTTTCTAGCATTTTGCTTGTTTTTGTTTCAGGAACTAAACTGGGCATTCATATAGATAAGGTGGAAGGATTTCTTACTGTAGCATGAGAAACAGCAATTCACAATAATCTTAACAGTTCCCTCTAGTAGTATAAACTTGAAAACGGGAACTTCTAGACAATTTGCCTTAGATACTTCTGCCTAACCAAAAAGGCAGTATTCCCCAAATGCCAGGCTCATCTTCTAAACTGACTGTCTCTTCATTGTACTGCCTTTGTTGGGCCTTAAACTTAATTCATTATACTAGCCTTGGTTCTCTCTCTGTGTGTGCGCATAGACACAGCACATAGAAACCTGAGAATTGCCTTGTGGCATCAAACTTGTCATCCACATGCCCCCAAGAGGTTCACAATTAAGGCATGATGGAGACACCTGTCCCTTTTTGGTTGATCACATAATATGGAGGTTTCATTTCTCTGCCATAGCTTCTACACACTTTTGTTTTTCTACTTCAGCTCTAGCCTGTTGTAACTTGGCCTGGAATGTCAGGGACTTGTAACATTACACCATTTGAGAAGAGTACTTAGTTAAGGCCGAAAACGGTACATTGTCACCTTCACTGCTGGTGTTTATGCACTTTATTCAGACAGAGAATGCTGTTAGGATTATAAATACTGTATCTCAAAGGTGATTATACTGGTGTAGAGTAGTTAAAAGAATGAGTCCAACTGGTGGCTTATTGACCATAACAGAATCACACCCTGACCTAAAGGGAGCCATACCAGTAGTGTCATCACTTGTACTTAAAAGAGAGAGAGAGAGAAGAGAAAGATGAATGTCTACCATCAAAAATTGGAATTCATTCCCATTAGCAGGGTGCATTTAAAGGACTGCAGGTCTGAAAACACCAAAGCTTAAGATTAAGAACCACAGAAAGAACTGTACAGAACAACGGTGAATGGTAGTAAAACTGATTTAAACATCTCTTGTACATCTCATTCTGCTAGTAATTATAAACCTGACCAGCTTTTTATAGGTAGGCAAGGTATTTGTGTAAAGTACTCACGTGTTTCATTCATAGACCTGGCTTGCAGGTTAATGCTTTGACGAACAATGACTTAGTGGAAATGTGCGGGTTCCTGGAGACAAGATTCTGACTGCTTTTCTCCTCCAGTCCTGGTGCTTCCATTTTGCTGTGAACTAAAACATAGTTTGGCTTAGTGTCACATCCAAATCCAGGCTTGTGGTTTAACACAAGATGTAGCCGAGTTTTATTCTGTGGCACACCATTCATGATTTGTCTGGAGGAGATAAACCACTAGCCCAGGTTCATATGTAATGATAAACCCTAACTATGGCTTAGCTCACAGCCGCAGGACTGGAAGAGGAGCAAAATGGGTACATCCTTCTCTCCAGGATCCCACACATTTGCTTGTTCTCACTAAGACTTGAAACCTTTTTATGAAGTGCCCTGGCAGGCTAACACTTTGTCAGTGATGCTGTGTAGACTCTGTGTTACTAGAATACCGTGTTACTAGAATACTTCACTTTGACTCTTTGTATGAAAAGTGCATGTGTACTTAAGCTGTTTGTCAGCTTTGCACAACTCACATCTGAACATTGCAAAGGCTGGTGATGTACAGACGGCATTCATTTGTTTAAGGAGAAGGAAAAAAATCAGAATCCAAACAGTTGTTCTGTTCTGAAGTGTGGTATCCAGCCTGAGGACTTAAAACCAAAAAAATAATGCAGTTTATTTAGTTTAAATGGTAGTAGGGCTTTATGGAATTATGAAGGAAGCATTTTAAAAAAAATAATGGCTTGGATCCTAACACAAGCAAGTGGAAATCTACAATCACACAATGGAGCTTTCTTATCTCTCACCTCCACTGCAACCACTTGTTCCTGAAAAGCCACTTTTGAGGCATAAGATCCTCAGATATCATGGTACAGGAGTCTGCAGCAATAGAAATGGGGGGATATCCCTTTGGCTTGCACAGCTGCACTTTTGGATCCAAATCATTATATCAAACTTGGCCTGAAAAATATCGGTGTCCTGTGATGGCTTCTACAGCATTGACCATCCTTCTGAAAAACAGCCGTGACTAAATAAATAAAATATCTAGGTTACAGTGGTGCTGATATGGTTTCACCCAGGGAATGTTGTTTTTCTGCACATAAATGTTCTCATCAAGTGATTTCACCATGCAACTTGCCTGCATATCAGAGCTTTCACACTCAAGTTTCATAGAGGGGGGGTAGCTCTGTGTATGTGAAGGAATGTGCACCAGTGCCTCGATCAAAGTGAATGGGACAGCTTGCTTGCATAGGATTTCCACATGCTGATTGGAGCATACTGAGCGATCTCGTGCCCGTTTGTGCTATTGCACTTCCGATATGTATATGTGAGCTGGAGAACATGAAACATGGAAAAAAGATTGCGAAGGAAGGAAACAGTATGGAGAAAAGCATTGTAATAATTGGGGTTATCAACAGTGGCTGAAACCCAGGTCCGTCTTGATAAAAATACATAAAAATTGGATTTATTTTTTAAAAAAATGCAAGTTCAAAAATAATATATGTTTAAAGGTATAGATCTTGCATTTGCTTGAATCTCTGATGTGACACACTATATAAATAACCCTTCCCATGCAGTTGATGCCTTTAGGTTGTCTTTAAATGCTTGTTAAGCTATGATACAACAATTTCAAGTAGAATTAGAACTGGCAACTTTTCTGGCTTTTAACAGGTGCATCTATTTCTTTATCACTGCACCACCATGTTTGCAGAAACTTTACCAGCCGAATTTCTCCTTGTCATATAATTGGTTTAAACATAAGAGCTTGCTGGGGGAGAGGTGGATGTTGGCAACAGTGAAATACAGAATTAATCTTTCATTGCTTCATGATACTACTATACTTTTGCCTGTGACTAAGCTTGCAAGGCAGATTAACTTCATTTTCTAAAAATGTTGGGGGTAGCATAAAATTATACACCTGAGATCATTAGAAACCAGTATCTTTTAAAAAAAACTTACTTTTTTTGTAAAATGCAGAACCTATAGAAAAGATGCTTTAAATTTTTCAGTACCATAGGGCAAGAACTATCTAGTCCTTACAAGAAACCCATTACTTAAGCATCCCTGACCATCCAGCTTGTTTAAAATGCTCTAAGGAAGAAGAATCTATTGCCTTATGAGGCAATGTGTTCTGCTTTTGAACACTGTTAAGTTTCTCGTAGTGTTTCACCTAAACCGTTCTTCTTGCAACTTGAACCCATTGGTTTGAGTTCTACCCTCTCGAGCGCTAGAAAACAGATTTGATCCATCTGTGTGTCGGATAATGTCATCTTTGACATCCTTGCTGTTTGGTCTCTTTAGAAGTGGGTGGTAAATTGGAACATTGTAGCAATGATAAGATAGACATTTAAGGCAGGAGTCACCTAACTTTGTCAGTGGAAGCCCTGAACATGGACTTCTGTTTGCAGAATGGAGTTTTCCCCCTCCTTCCTCACACCCCCAGAAGAGTGGACAAGGAGAAGAGAAGGAGGATCCTTTCATTTGGCAAGCTGCAATGCTTGTGCAGATGAAACATTCATCATAGTGTGATATCAACTTAATATTGTATGGTTTCAACTTAATCTTGATCCAATGCAAACACATCTGAATGGCAGAAAACTTTCTTAGAAGCCATTCTGGGCTGTTGTGTGATAAAACCAAAAAGTAATATGAGAATTAACTTTTTGTTCACAGGTAAGAGAAAACAAATGACACACATAAACCAATAGACTGGATAGTCACTAATTTTAAGTGCAGCTTTAAGTCCTAAATACAGTAACTGGAAGAAAGTCTCTCAGTGTTACTTGAAAGTAATCATGTTTAAGTCTTCAGCTTCTTATAACCAACAGACATCTCTATCTTCTTGGCTAACTGTTATTTTCTCAAAACCCACACACAGCTGGAGAATTCAGATGAGAAATGAGCTTCCCTATTTATTTATTTATTCATTTATATAAAAAACCTTTTTAGTGGATCAGTCTACAAATCAAAGTGCAGTCTTTGTAACTGGAACTCCATAAAATTAAGATTGTACTGAAGGAAGCCGCCCCCCCTTCAAGGGAAAAAAAGTCTCTTCTATACTTTGTCCATCTCTCAGTTCATTGCCCAATGCAGTTTGTGTAATATTCCAGTATCCATAGGGTAGGCTATGCTTCAAAACCAGCAGCAAGTAAGAAGGTATATGCAAAAGGTGGGGGCCAGGAGACCTTCTATAACCTACAAATTTTTACACCATGTGTAAAGAAATCGTATTGCTTATTGCTATATTTTATGCCTGCAAATAAAAGCAATATATTAATCTGCTTTATATTTTTGCATGTCAGGCAGCACTTTACTAATAATGGTGGGAAAGGATAAGAGGTAGTTGTAATAAGGCTTGTAAACTGCTCTGTGCTCTGCAAGTGCTATAGAAATTATATCCCATTCAGTGTGTGTTGATACCAATGTAGTAAACACTGTGACTCAAGATTTGCTTTTTGTATAATTCGTCAAAATATTCTAGGAGGAGCCGGATTCTACAGTCTTCTCTGAAATGGGTTGCTGGCTAAGCACCAGCCATACTGGATTTATATGAATGTTAATGCCTACTGTGGATAGCAGTAATTGCATCAATAAGTTTGCCTCTGCAAACTATCAGTTCAGCTGGTGGGAAGCAATATCAATTACGCTGAATTTACTAGGCAATAGAATGTTCTTAGTACTGTAATGTTAATGTTCACTGTAACTTGACCATTTAACCTGTTCGTTTGTTCATACCATACACGTGGACTGTTACTGTATCTGTTCCTATTGAATTGCCCAGATCAGAAAAAAGGCAATTTATTCAAACCAAAGATCAATAAATATGTTGTGGTGTTGACTTCTTTTGTACATGTAGAATGGATACACTTGCTTGGTCTCTAATATAGTACCACTGTTTGATTTGTCCTGTTTCAAAGCCCTTCTAAATATATTTTATGCACAGTGAATATTTACGGACCAAATCCTTAACTAAAGGCATTGCTGTTTCACAGAAGTTTTCTCAACATAATCATGTGCTTGGCATCCTGAGATCAATTGTTGTTGTGCTTTTTATTTCTTTGGAGACTAGCAAAATAATGCTTAAAGAGGGAGTTGGGAACTTAGGAAAAGGACCCAAAAGTGCAACTGGAGTCCAAAAAGGAGGTATAGGAAACCTTGTTGGGAGTTGGGTGCTATCAACATGTTCCCATGCTTTTCCCACTTCCTTATTTTTCCAACTTCATGGTACTAAACTTTGTGGAATTTGAAAGGAACCATATTCCTTTGAGGGTTGTGGGATGTGTGTGTGTTGGTAAAGTAGTCTGCCTATACCTTTGAGATTTTCAGTTGTTTTTTGTTTTTTTAAAGACAGCACAGTGTTACCTCAGGTTAAGTACTTAATTCATTCCGGAGGTCCGTACTTAACCTGAAACTGTTCTTAACCTGAAGTACCACTTTAGCTAATGGGGCCTCCCGCTGCCGCCGCGCCACCAGAGCACGATTTCTGTTCTCATCCTGAAGCAAAGTTCTTAACCTGGAGCACTATTTCTGGGTTAGCAGAGTCTGTAACCTGAAGCGTATGTAACCTGAGGTACCACTGTATCAAGCTATTCCAGTGTGTGAGAGTAGCTGCCATTTTTTATGGACTCGGGGAGGGGGGCAGGATTTGTCTCATGGATGAGGTGTGTGTATATATAAATAATCTAATGTAAAAATATAAAAAGCAAAATATAAAAATCTAATTTAAGTTATAGGTTGGAAAATATAAATTCTATAAATGTTACAACTGGGCAAATGCATGAGTTTTATGAGGTGCTGATCACTGAAGCACTACAGCCCACCCCAAAGAGTCACAGCCTCCATAACTGCACATCCCCTCCATCAAAGAATCTGTATGCTCTGCTCTACCTCAGCTGAAATTTATTTTGAAGTAGAGAAACTGTACTCAGGGTCCAGTTCATCCAACCACTTTGCTCTCCAATATTCTCCTTATGAGAGAAACCTGTACCTTACTGTGCCACAGGGCTAGCAGGTGTGAGAACTGAGAAGATCAATTGCCTGAGGAAAATTTTGTTTTTGGTACCACACACTCTTTTATGTCTTATCCAGCCCAATCTCTCTAGTACAGTGGTACCTTGGTTCTCAAACTTAATCCGCTCCGGGAATCCATTCGACTCCCGAAACCATTCAAAAACCAAGGCGCAGCTTCCGATTGGCTGCAGGAGCTTCCTACACTCGATTGGAAGCCACGTTGGACATTCAACTTTTGAAAAACATTCGCAAACCGGAACACTCACTTCCAGGTTTGCGGTGTTCAGGAGCTGATTTGTTCTAGTACCAAGGTACACCTGTACTATAATTGTCTCCAGAGCCCAGTTTGGGGGCAGGAAAGCCAGGGAAATAGTTAAGTGGCTGCCCCATAAGTGACAACTCCCCACTAGCATCTATTGAGCAGCTGAAATAAACAAAGACGCATGGCAGATGGCCATCCAACCTGTGCTTTAAAACCTCCAAGGAAGAAGAGTCCACAACCTCCCAAGGGAAACTGTTCCACTGTCAAACAGCTCTTGCTGTCAGAAAAAGTCTTTCCTGGTGTTTAGTTGGACTTTCCCTTCTTGTAACTTGAAGCCACTGGTCTGAGTCCTACCCTCCAGAGGGTAAAGAATAAACAACAGCAACAACTGTAAGTTAAGCAGAAGAAAAGCAAGCATCAAAAACTATTTCTGTCCCAGGCTAAAAGCCTGGGGAAAATAAAGAGATCTTGGCCAGGCAGCAATATAGTTGTCAGGTGGGCCTCTCTGACGAGAGCTCTCAAGAAATGGGGCACCACCACTGAGAAGGCCCCTCTCCGCTTGCCACCCACCTCACAGCAGGCAGTGGAGGCACCTTTCTCACCCACTGTGAAGTTTGACTCACCCTAGCAGGCAGGCTGGGAATATGGGCCACGGTAGCAGTGGGGGATGAGAGAGATGATCTTCCTACATAATCCTTCTCTGCCCTCAAACTGTTAAGGGCCATCCAGAAAGCACTGCTGAGCTTATTGCATCTTCCACTGATGCCTAGGGCTGCCTCTGCAATTCAGCAACGAACCTTCTGTATATTTCATTTCAGCTATGAAGGATTTCCTTTCCTGACAAGCCCATGGGATCCCCACAGGCTTCCTTAAACTGGCAAGCACAATGCAAGCTTGGGTGCCAAGGTGGAACTATTTGGGTGGGCGGGCGGGGGGGAGGTGAGGGAGGAAGGGAGGAATTTTTTTTGATTAGCTTTAATAATCAGGAAAGGGAAATTTTAATTGAAGTGCTTGCAATTCAACTGACAGGTTGAACGTGCCTTTTGATGCTAAAAACGGTTACAAAATTAGTGCGAAATACTTCGTCTCAACTCAGTCACACACAAAAACGGGGGGTGGGAGAGGAAGTAAGCACATTTAAAAATTGATTAGTGCTGCATGAAGCTGTTCTCCAGAGATTTGAACTCTTGTGCATATGCCCTCCGAGCTATCTGGCTCGTTGCTGCCTTTGCCCATTTAGTCTGTAGCTGCCTCACCTTGTTGGTTTGTGCTGACCTAGTTTATCTGATTACTAGCATTGGCTATGGCAGAGAGCATTGTGGGAGAGGGAGACCTTGTCCCTAGGACCCCTCTGGCCTCCAGCTCAGCAGTTTCCTCGGTATTATGATGGACTATCTTTGGGGCAGAAGCTGATCTGTGTGGTGCACTGTGCTGAGTTTTCCAACACAGGGAAGGAAAGTCTGTCCTGTTGACACATTTTGCAAAAGTCGAATGAAAGAGGCTCTTAAAACCATTCAACAGATGAGATGTGTTTTGGTTTGAATATAAGCAAACATGAGGGACTCATGCACAACATACACATAGTATGACACATGCAGCTTCTACTTGCCTGCTTGCATAGCATGTTGGGAGATTCTGGTATTGCTGCTGGCTGTACAACTTGGTATTGGGCTATAAGACAGTATTGTGCCTTACTTCTGCACACTGCTGAACTAAAGAAGCAGAAGAAGGGGCAGTGGTGGTGAGTAGGGCTGAGCGATATAACAGTATACAGTAACGTCCAAAACCAGTTTGATGTCCATATAGTGATATTGGTTTCATAATTTTTGGCCTGACAATATATTGTGAATCATGGTGTGTGTGTGTGTGTGTGCTGTGCAAAAATCACAATGCAGGAAAAACCGTGAAGCCAGCCAATGCCTCTACATAGCTCCATCCTTATTTCATTGTGATGTATTTGTAAAGTGCGATGTTTAGCTGGTGATATCATGATGTTGAAAAACCAGATACTGCCCAACCCTAGATGTGAGCATGACCTGGGGGTAGATGTCAGCCATAACCACATAACCTTGAACAGCATCTACGACTTCACATTCAGGAGAAGTTAGGAACATGAGAAGCTACTTTATACTGAGTCAGACCCACTGGTCCATCAAGCCCAGTGTTGTCTACACTGAGTGGCAACAGGATTCAGACAGGGAGTCTCTCCCACCCCTACCTAGAGATGCTGGATGTTGAACCTGGGCCATTTTGCATGTAGAAGAGATGTTCTGCCACTGAGTTATGGCTCCTTGTATTACAGGAATTTGTTAGATACCTCCTTCCATATTGTAGCGTAGTGTGTTGCCTTGTAATAGGTCCACGAAAACACCTCATGGACCTGACTTAAACATCATATAGTATTTTGCCTATTGGACAGATGCTTACAATCCCTTAGCCGGTCGCAGAAAATAAGAATAAATTTGGTGTTCTAGAGCTTGGGTCCTAACTAGGCTTCTGCTGGCAGGAGCATCCCAAGCACTACTCCTCTCATGGGATGCTCCCACCACTGGAATGGTTGTGATGGTACTGGGGAGAGGGGACTCAGCAACTGCCCTTTCCCTTTCCTACCCCTTGCACTCTATGAAACTCTGCTCTGGGGGGTTGTGGGACCTGAGCTGCATGAGAGGTGACTTGGGAGGATGAGAGGAAAGCATAAGAAGAGCCCTGCAGAACCAGGTCAATGGCCCTTCAAGTCAAGAATTCAGAGGCCCGTGGGAAAGTCCACAAGCAGGAGCTGAGGGCAACAGTGTTCTCTCTATTGGTGATTCACAGCAACTGGCATTCAGGGACATACTGGCATTGCCTTCTCCTGCTCCCCCACCCCAATCTGCTGGTATGATCCCTTGCTGTCTGTGAATGGTGGGAGGCTTTCCATCTGCAGACACCAAGTTGGAATCCAAGCCATTATCTCTTGAAAACTTGCTGCATTCTGATGACTTCTGCATATAAAGATGGAGATAATGTGTGGGATGCACATGCGCGACTATCTTATTTTGACCATTTTTTTGTGTGCTCGGTGAACAAGAACAACAACAAGGTGTACATGTGTGTGCCTGAGGCAATACAGAACAATTTCTTTCCTGAAATGGAGGAAGCTGATTACTGTCATTTTGATGCTGTGCCTTTTTATATACATTGGTGGTGGTATGGAAAGACACTGGCTTGGAGCAAGGCGTACTTTAGAGTGCTTTGAAATTGTTGAAGAACTACACATTTTACAAAGTGCTCCATTTTGCTGCTGATTCAAGTAGCATGGAAACCAGTGAACTGGCTGTTGTGTGCACAGAAAAACTCACTGCCAGATGAAGAACTCCAACTCCCAGTTTCTACCAAAGACTTTAATGCATGAATCAGATGGGTGCATAGGCAAGGTACAGGTTTCAAGGTGTAGTAGGGACACAACAGGTATACAGATACATGGCTAAGTACAAGCTAAGCTGTTGATCCAACAAGTGACATGCCCCCTGCACCTTCCTTTTGAAGAGCAGAGCAGGCACAGCTCTTAGCATGGCAAGCAAACAGTG